AGATTCAGGCAGGCCTATTAATTCATTTCGTTTTTTTACTTGGTCTATTCTGTCATCCATATCGCACTCCGCAAGGTCAACATTTTTTCATCGACGTTATTGCACGGTTTAAACATTGACGATCGGGATGGGGGTGGGATACATGTGTACCAGTACATGCGAGGAAAAGTCATTTTTATTCTCTTCAGTAAATAGTCTTATTTAAATAACTGCAAATTCAAGGGGGGGGTCTGATCTCCCTAGCAACTCCCTGTACCGGAAATGACAATTGATCTTATGACTCCATAATAGTAGAAATTTTTTTTTCCATTTGACTATATATACATATTTTGACTATATATACATATTTTGTTTCCTGTGTTTATGTCTGTTTATTTGTCCACAGAAACTTTAACCTTGCCCATAAGTTTTAAGTGAATTGGGCTATACACATGGCTTCCACATTTCATAGGTAAATTTCTTTTGACAAAACCTTTTAATGGGTACCACCAATTTTGACCTCTTGATCTCTTGACCTTGGAGTTTGACCCACTTTTACAAGAAAAATACCTTAAACTTGGCTTAAGTTTTGAACAGTTGGTGCTAGGACTTTCATGCTTAACATGTGTAATCATAGTGAACTTTCAACAGGTATATTTATTTTTGACCTTGACCCTAGAGTTGAACCCAATTTAACTTTAACCTTGGCAATAAGTTTTGAACAGGTGAGGAAGTACTAGGGATTTCTCTCTTATTTCACATGTGTATTCCTTGTGATAAGACTTTTCCTTTGATACGAACAATTTTGACCCTTTGACCTTGACCTTGGAGTTTGACTTACATTTGAGAAACTTCAACCTTTGCCAAAAGCTGCCATAACAGTTACTGTCACAACAAACAAACAAATTACTAAAAAAGCACAGTATACATGTACATATTTTATATTCAACAGATATTCTTCTGGTCATATCTCTAGTTCTCCCTTGAATCAGACATGGTGATATAATTATTTTAAAAATAATTATTATAAGAGTTGAAAAGGTTGTGCATATTAAAACTGATTAAGCTCTGTGGATGAATTAGATATACCTGTTTAGCTTTATTTTGCTACCAAAAGCACCTTGATTAACTATTTACAAGCATACTGTATTCTGAAATGTTATGTTTTCTGTCATCCATCTGTTTGTCTGCAAACTTTTCACATTCTTAACTTCTTAAGAACCACTGGGCCAATTTCAACCTATTTACATTTGAATATGCAGGGGACTTTTTCCAACATAAATCTTCTTAAGAACAGCAAGGACATTTATTGTCCCCCATTTTTGTTAAAGGTAGGGGACATTAAATCTCATTTGTTTGTCAGTCTGTCCATCTGTCACAATAAATTTAACCTTGATCATCATGGTCATATATTTTGAATGAGGAGAGACAGGACTTTCATATTAAACATGTGTATTAGTATTTAACTGGGACAATACCATTCTAAATACACTATGATTTTTATTACCCATGACCTTGAAGTCAAAAACCTACTGTCAAAACAAAATTGTTTTAAATTGATCATTTTGAAAGAGAAATGAAAGGGCATTCATATTATACATGCATGTATATTACCTGTGATAAGACCTTTCCAAATGTATCATGACTTTTTGCCCCTGTGACCTTGAAGTTTAACTTACTTTTCAATAATGTTGTATTTCCTCTTGATTGAGAAGAGATACGACCTTCACATTTCATGTGTACATTACCCATAACAAGATGTTTCCCAACATGCTATGATTTTTTTTACCCCTTGACCTTGATGTTTTACCAAAATTTGAAAAGAGCACTGGATGAAAAGTCTAGTTTCCGCAAAACTGAAACTATGCGGAAACCTTGCTGAAACTTGGCGTTGAAGTTTCCTGTATGGTTTCCGCAATGCGGAAACTATATAATAGTTTCAGCAAGTTTCAGTAGGGTTTCCGTATACTGAAACCATTAGGTTTGTTTCCTAATAGTTTCCGCAAAACGAAAACCAATGTAAAATTTAATGAAACGTCAATTTAACGATACGTTTTAGTTTCAGTAGGTTTCCGTTTCCGGAAACTATTAATTTCGATTCCATATGGTTTCCGCATGCTGAAACCGTACTGAAACTTTTTCTATTTTTTTTTCAAAAGGGTAGAAAAATCAACTCGTATGCATATGATCTTTTTACTATTGATTTCGATTCCACATGGTTTCCGCATGCTGAAACCGAACTGAAACTTTTTCTCTTTAATTTTTTTTCAAAAGGGTAGAAAAATCAACTCATATCATCCTTATATTTATTTACACATTTAAAAAAATGGTTTTATTTTTAAATATCTAATATTTCATATTCAGATTTTGAGATGTGCCTGCTCTGTGTAAACTTACACATACCGATATTGATATCAATGATAAGCATATTATACAAGATCCTTTCTTCATATCAAATGTATAAAAATTGTTTATTTCATATTGTGTCGGAATTCAAAAATATTTTTTTTTAACAAAATCGATTCCTCTCACAAGGATTTTCTACATTACCCAACTCAATACTCCCCCTCGGGAATTGATTATTTTGAAAACATACATCATTTTCACAAAACTACGATTACGTTTCATGTAAAGTTGTTTAAAAAGAAAATTAGTGTGTCTTCATGGTGCATGAAATACAGATAATTACGAGAGTGAACATAATCTGAGATAGAAAGGTTTGCATTTATATTCTTTATACACGTTTCTCTATATATTTTCCTTAATGAATATCATTTCAATAATTTCAATTTGTTAACAATACATATTGACTAGGAAGCCTTTTTTACTATTCATATATATATATAGTTCAATAGTAACATGTACTAGTTATTTTTATAATAACATTGATTTAATATCTACATATATGTATTTTTATTTCCGTCTTCGTAAAAACATTTTATTCGTAAGCCGCGGTTTTACAGCATTAAAAATATTACAAGAAAACATGTCCTGAAAATTTGATGTCATGGTTCCCAGGATTTGCAGCATTTTATGTCAATCTGATTAAAATCAAATCTTCCATTTGTTCCCCTAATGTTTATTTACACGAGGAACTCTTATATGTAAAAAGTCTGCTTTTGTGAAACAATACCCTGGGAGCGAATGGAAAATCTCAAAATTTTAATTAGATTGTATATTATGTGTAGGCTTTTCTTTTTTTTTTTTTTTTTGTTTTATTTCATATATCTTGCTTTCGTGATGTTAATTAATGCAATATCACTGAAAACGCGGTATACTTTTTAGTAATATGTTCAATTATATTCGTATTGAGATGTATAATGTGCTAAATATGTGATATAGAACTCAGTTTTTTTAAATAAACTTAAAGTAGTCTGTAAGTTGAACAAATTTTCAATTCTTTACATTGAACCCCACTCGCGGGCACCTGTCCTCACGTGCCACAGGTGGGGAGACACGTGTCACGAAGACACCTGCTACCGTGTTGGTGTATTTTTTGTATATTCTATGTGGATTGAGGGGTTTTTCTACCTTAGAGGAACAATGGACTGTGACCAGGCGTAATATATACACGCAGTACATGGTATACACAGCTAGCCTTTTCTAATGACACCCAGGTTTCTGAACATTCAAAATTAAAAAAAAATCATACTATATAAAACTTCACCTAAAATCAAACATGTCATATGTATAATGTGTTATGTAAAATATTTCATACAATGTTTCATATTTAGCATAAGAAGTTTTTATTTTATGTGTTGGTGATTAAAAGAAAATAGACAAACCTCTTAAATATTTATCTATCAATCTAATATAATAAAATTAATCTATTGGTAAGGAGAATATTTGCTATAGCTAGTTCAATAGACTATTTCAAAAATTTCAATATTATTTTACAATTTCTCCACACAAAAATATCGGCTATCACAAAAAGAAATCGACAATTAATGGTATTCCTTGTTTGCCACCATTGTAAACTTCAAATATTGAAAATATTTAGAGGTCAATGAAACGCAACCTAATGAAAACTAAGTCTATTTTATTTCATAACTTTTTTCTATGGGTTATTTCTAAGTACATTATATCAAAACAACGTTTTATTTCTAATTTAGAGTCCAAAACAAAAAAGTGTGAGATTATTACAATAATAAGGAAAAGATAAGTCAATCAATAGCAAAAAAATTATTAAAAGCAAATAATAATCCTGTATTATAAAGGAATAAAGAAGAATTTACATATGACATGTGTAAAGGACTATGACCACTTCTATTACATGATATCATTTATATAAATTTGCCTGCAAAATTAAGAGTTTCCGTATCTTCTGTATTGAGTGACCAATATTTTTTTGGTTCATCATCTAAAGCTGAGAAGTATGGAGATTTACTATTAATAAACTGAATTTTTTTTTTAGGGGGGGGGGGACATGTTTGACGATCATATTTTTTTTTTTTTACATGACAATGTTATAAAAACAAAATGAATGTTACATCTACATAATCGATCTTCAGGAGAATTATTGGTAAATCTCCCCACTTCAATTTGTAAGCTGTGACAGGAAATTCCTAGATAACAAATAGACTTGTACATTCATGTTGATATTTTCTGAGTAGAAAATTTTCAACAATTGATGAAAAATTTTAAATATAACCCCAATTTTGCTTTTGAGTTGCACCCCATATGTGGTTAATATGCCATCAGCATAACTTTGTTGACTTGTATACCATTTTCTTTTTTCTTTTCTTTTCTTTTTCTTTACACAATAATCGAAGTACATGTGTACATGTGACTTTATATCATTCTATTTGAAAACAGGACATTCGGAGTCCGTTTCAACAATTACCATAATCATGTAATAAAGGTCTAAAATTCGCTTTTTATCCCCTTCGATTCCATGATCAATTTTATATTATCATTCAAAACTGTTCATTCTGTTGCCATATATATACAAGGACATTTGCATTTAAAACGTAAAAAAAGAAATTGCTAAACTGAATTTTCCGTAAAGAATTTGAATCACTAGGTGGCGTATCGCGGCAGAATGCTTCTCTCTCATTGGTTAGATTTTCAGAGAAGAAAGAAGGACAAAATGGCGAAGAAAACACCAAGAATTTGCTCAAGAAAAACAACAGAGATGAGAAGATCTTTTGAATCTACACTGAAGAAAGGCACCCCAAACGGCAGATTAGATACAGGTAGTTATTTGTTACAGTTCAGAGCATCTTTATTTTTGTTTTTATCGTCTGAAATCGTAAGAATAATGTTGACCTAAAATGGCGCGTTCCAAAAATTCAAAATGACCATTGTATAGTTGTAATTATTGTGAAAAAGCGCCTTGTAAATCATTCTCAGCTTATGTTGTTATACATATAATTAACTGCTGTTTAAACGCATGCATGTATTTTGCACCATTGTATTTAACTTTCAAAAATATTATGTTTTTCGTATTCTGCATCGTCCCGATCATGTAAAATTTCCATAATTTAAAAATTACAACGTGTTGTAGTATTCCGGAATTTTAAATGTAGGTTGGTTTTAGAGGATAATATCGTTATGTACTTGTATCCGGTGTTAACTTTTTCATTTGCAAAATCGAAAGATTTGACCCCACGCTTATGTTTTTTCAGAAAAGGTGAGCTTTATTGTTCATTATAGCTGCTGGATGTGTTCAATGTTACTCTCAGAAGTAGTTTCTTGAATCGTACATTTATTTTTTGCTGAATTGTTTTTATTATTGATGGAAGACTGTGCTGCACAGCTGAGGAAGGGGTTCAATATATTTTTAACATACATGCAATCTAGAATCGTAAATATTAGACATGTAAGAGGGCATCATGATGGGAGAATGCCATCGTGTAGTATTGTATCACTGTGAAATGCCAATTTGTACATGTTGTAGTCATGAAAGTAAAATTCCTGAGAACTTGCAGATTTTTGGGCTATGAAAGTGACTTGATAATTTTCACAATGCCGCACATTATTCAAGTTGAAGTATTTTATTTTCATACCATACATAAGGATTTTAAAGCAAATGTCGAAAGTGAATAAACTATTTATATACAAAGATACATAAGCATCTTTTCTTACAAGGCATAATTATGATGAATTAAACTTAAAATGATATTTATTTTGAATTAAATTTTAATTTCATGTTGACACATATGCATGTTTTGATCTATATGAAATAAATAAGACTATTTAAGCAACCGAAAACTTGATTTAGTGTGCATGGTTTAATTCTTCATTAGAAATACTTATGTTATTTTTGTACCCTGTGCTTCAAATATTAAATGTGGTGCTGCACCGTGCAGTTTCTAAATATCAGAAATCACTTTTAAATCATATTAACCATAGACATGATTCTCTTGATATCAACAGAACAGCTATTGTTTACCTGTATTGTATATAAATTCTGCATTATGATAAACTGGAGCTTGATGAAATGAGCAATTGGCCATTATCAATTTCTTAAGTTGCATGCATTGATATTATATAGTCATATACTAGTATTTGTTTGTTGCTCATAGAAATTATGATATCCGTTTAGAGAACTTTTTATTCATGTGGATACATCACCAACACAGTCTCTGCTCTCATCCGAGGGAGTGGTCTCTATGTACTACATTGGATTCTAGAATTCTAGGATTCTACATTGGATTCAGACCCGTGATGTATGAATCAGCACCTACTTCCCAACTTGAGGCGTGTTGCTCTAACCACTGGGCCACACTGTGTGACCCATTATGAAAATTTGATATAATACTTTTACGTCTATATGACTTCTAAATTTTATTGACTTGATAAAATGACTGATACACAAATAAGATTTTTGTAATCTCTCTGTTTATAGCTGTTTACCATTTGCCATATTTCTATCACTAATTAAATCAATTTTCAACAATGGCCACTAAAGAGTCATACTTCTGTCTTATTATATAAATAGTTATCTGCCCTTGATGCAAAATGGAATAAATAAAATAAAGTATTAAATGGATTATAATTTTAATCAAAGAAGGCCTACATATCTTAAACAAACATAATTTAGATGTAGTCTTGCTTTTATGAAAAATTGTAACTTATTTAATTTTTCTCACTCTCAGATATAATTGCTTTTCAAGAACTTCTAAATTGTGGTTGTGATAGGACTGCTACTTAAAATTAGACCAGAGTGTGTCCATTTTAAAATGATACAATTTTCCATCATTTTTTTCTTTGTCATGTGTCTATTAAATTTTAACTGAATGTCAGGTGCAAGGAAATGGACATGCAAGTGGTTTTTGGGACTTTTCCTAGCTCATGCTAAAAACAAAAACAGTTATTAATGTACGGTACTGTACTAATATGATCTATTTTAATTTCAGATATCCACTGAACAAACCATCTGAAAACTAAGGCTAATAGGAGAGGATGAAGAATACTTCTGTTAAAAGGTATGTTTTAACAGTGAGTAAGAACTTAATATAATTTATGTAGCTCTATTTTAGGAAATTAAGGACTAAAGCATAAAGTTTATGTTTTTATTTTCTATTGTTTTGTTAATCTCACTGTGTCATGTTAAGCTCTCTATTTAGTATTCATCATCATGATCATAGTCAGTGTGTTGTGAGGTTGGGGGGGGGGAGGGGGTTAACATGTAAGCTGCTTTCCTCTACTTTTTAAGTTTTATATAATATCTTTATATGTTTCCATGAAATAAACATTTTCTTAGAAAGTCTCATTTTGCGAGCTACCTACTAAAATTGTATGATTTATTTAAGATAACTATTATCATAATTTTCAGCTTCTCTGCAACCGCTCAACCAATTTCAACCAATTTTGGTGAAGGGGAACAAAATTTATAAATTTTATCCCCCCTTCCCCCCGCGGGCCTGAGGGGTAGGGCCAAAACCACTAAAATTCATGCAATCTTTGAAAATCCCCTTCTTCTTTTCCCCTCCTGAACATCAAGCAGTCAAACTGTTGGTATGATTGTAATCGGCATTGAGTCCTCTACCATAATTATGAAATTCATGACCCCAGGGTCAGGGATTCTAGTATTAGGGTGGGTCTTATAGCTCTTTGGAATTAATCAAACCATTTAAGATGAAATAAAACCTATGAAAACATTTAGTAAATTTTGAAATGTGTGGTCCCAGGGTTAGTGGTTCCTGTGGGGTGGGGTACACAACTGGTGGTTATAAAATGGAATTGCATTGTATCTTTATTACTCTGATCTACCTTTGGGTATTTAGTAACCAAAGTAAGCATGCTAACTAAGTGTATAATTATGATAAACAAAGGTGCGTCTTTCGAAATTGTGAATTTCATGGCTTTTTGTTTAAATTACGAACAAAATTCAATTGAGTGGAAGTTGTTAAGCCTAGAAAAAAAAAAAATTTGTTTCCCCTTTCAGGCTGAAAAAATATAGGTAGATAGGTAGGTAATTATTTTTTTTTGAAACATTTTTTTTTTTTTGCTTCTTGAATCAAAAAGTGTATAGAAGTTACATTAATGACAAAAGAAATGGTGTTTTTAAGCATTTCTGTGACTTAAAAGAAAGGTAACTTAAACTTCTTTCTGTCTTGAACATGTTGAAAAGCTTGCAAAGTTGGAGACTATAATTCCCTGGGTGAAATCTTGCACTTCATGGGACAAAAGCATTAAAAATAGATTTAGGGTCGGCACTATATATTAGAGTCAGTCAGGAACAAACATATTTTTTTTTCTAGGCTTTACATGATACTCAGGTGACCTACAAGGTCTGTGGGCCTCTAGTTGTTATTCAAATATCATGAATCATGGTCTAAGGGTCTAGGTTAGGGGTACAAAAAATATTTTGATGAACAAGTAAAATGAAGAAAAAAATCCTTAATTTACTTTGAAAATCTTATCAGAAACAAATCCATACATACATATTCAGTATATTTAAATACATTCAAGTTTGTTTATTTCATTATCCCTTGTCAAGTGTGTAAAAGAGGCAACTTTAATAAACTAATGAGATTTTACACTTGATAAATTTTTAGATTTTATTTTAAATCATTCTGATCAAAAATGCTGAAAATCTGAAATTAATCAAACAAAGGCTTGTGCTAGAACAGTTTTAGGAACTTTCAGTTTGTCAATCTTATTAAAATTAAATGTTAGATCTGCGCACATATTGGCTAAAATCTAATGGCATCCTGTAGAGTGTCACGTCAGACATTAAATTCTATTAACCAATCAAATACTCGAATGCAAAAATTAATGTATTTAATTTATTGGAATGAATAAGTCTAGAGTCTGAGTTGTTCCGTATTTGACATTTGACATGACCTTCTATGGATGCTGTTAGATGTTGTGTAGCGAGTATGCAAGAGGATCTAACGTGTTGTTTTATTTAGATTGGGATTTTGTTAAACTATATTTTTATATATTTTCAATAGGTTGAAGTAACTGACGAGCAGGTCAATCCAACTTGAACTTGAAGTGCAAGTGGGTCTTCAAAAATGTGGACCACTCAAGGACTTTTCTGTTGGTTGATGATGGACTACAAACTGAATATTTAACAAAGAAATCAACTTTGGTGCTTATTGGCTACTAATGATGTGAACTTGTGCATTTATTATACCAAGTACTTTTACATTTCCTTGATGATACTAGACTTGCGTATACCGAATTCAGGTTTAGTTGATTGATTGCAGTTCTAAGTTCCTCTCACAACATTATATCTCTCATATATGAGACATCATTAAATGCAGACATTTTCTCTGTCCTCCTGTTGTGACATGAGAGCTCGGACTTAGTTGTAAAAATATTTATGATGCAAGAGAAAATAAATGGCCAAGCCAATGTATGTAAATGTTGATAATAATATTAAATATTCTTTGATAACTAGTGTGAGTGTGTTTTGTTTTTTCCAGTATGAAAATTCAGGGAGAAAATGAGTTTTGGTTGAAAAGCTGGGCTAAATTGTATAATTTATAGTACAGTTTCTGTTGCGGAAACCTATGGTACACCATATGTATTTCAACCGTATACGCATACTGAAACCTTGCGTAAACCTCAAGTTTCAGTTGCGGAAACCTATGGTACACCATATGTATTCCAACCATATACGCATACTGAAACCTTGCGTAAACCTCATGTTTCAGCAAGTTTCAGTTGCGGAAACCTATGGTACACCATATGTATTTCAACCATATACGCATACTGAAACCTTCCGTAAACCTCAAGTTTCAGCAAGTTTCAGTTGCGGAAACTATTTGGATTCGTGGACACCTTTGGTTTCCGCACTGCGGAAACTTGATGAAACTTGAAGTTTCCGCACTGAAACTTTGCGGAAACTATTAGTAACCTTAAGTTTCCGCAGAGTTTCAGTAGAGTTTCAGCCATGCGGAAACTGTATTTTTCATCCAGTGGAGTGAACTCACCCAAAAGAGGATTAGGCCACTGTGTAGAATGAAGTAGGAGTTTAGGGAAGAAGGGGCTTTTTGCATTAAAAAAGTCATTTTTTGACCCATTTGACCCCCCGAGGCAAAATCAAAATTCCGAAACCTTACTACACATCTACATGACATCACCAACCATCTCCTAAAAGATGATTAGGCTGCTGAGTAAAATGTAAGAGGAGTTCAGGAAAGAAGGGGCTTTTTGCATAAAAACGTAATTTTTCGACCCCCATTTGACCCCCCGGGGCAAAATCAAAATTCCGAAACCTTACTGCACATCTACATAACACCACCAACTATCTCCCAAAAGATGATTAGGATGCTGAATAAAATGTAAGAGGAGTTCAGGGAAGAAGGGGCTTTTTGCATAAAAAACGTCATTTTTCGACCCCCATTTGACCCCCCGGGGCAAAATCAAAATTCTGAAACATCACTGCACATCTACATGACACCAACAACCATCTCCCAAAAGACGATTAGGCTGCTGAGTAAAATGTACGAGGAGTTCAGGGAAGAAGGGGCTTTTTGCATAAAAAAAACGTCATTTTTCGACCTCCATTTGACCCCCCGGGGCAAAATCAAAATTCCGAAACCTTACTGCACATCTACATGACACCACCAACCATCTCCCAACAGATGATTGGGCTGCTGAGTAAAATGTACGAGGAGTTAAGGGAAGAAAAGTGTGACAGACGGACGGACGGACGGACATGAGTAACAACAATATACCCGAACTTTCTTTAGAAAGTGAGGGTATAAAAAACTACTTTTTATAATTTATGTTACATATGCGTTAATTTAAGTCATGTTATGTCATTTATGTGTATGAAAACATCACAGCACTGTATAGAATTATTGGAATATAAAATGTACGAGGAGTTAAGGGAAGAAAAGTGTGACAGACGGACGGACGGACGGACATGAGTAACAACAATATACCCGAACTTTCTTTAGAAAGTGAGGGTATAAAAAACTACTTTTTATAATTTATGTTACATATGCGTTAATTTAAGTCATGTTATGTCATTTATGTGTATGAAAACATCACAGCACTGTATAGAATTATTGGAATATAGACGTGCAAAAAACGGGAACTTTTTTTAAACTGAATTTATTTTTGTAAGACCGTTTCATTATTACATAACTTAAATACTTACTGAAATAATGTAGTATACCCTACTCTGTACTGAACTAATTTTGGTCCCATCAATGGACAGTCATGTGATAAATGCATAGTATGTGTACTGATTAGAGGTCATAAACAAATTTCAATAAAAATTTCAACTCACCATTTGTATCTGCATATTTTGTACATAATGGAAAGTACTGCTTCTTTGAAACGAATTCACATTTTATTAGTTAAAATTTCAAGTAAATATGTCCATGTCGAAATATGTACGAGTTTTACAAAGTATTTTACGTCCTTATTAAGTCACACTCTCGATTTTAAAAAGTAGCAGTACTTTTCAAGTTAAGGAAAGCATCCTTTATTTATATTCAAAAAATGGCCAACATCTATTAAGTGTATGCCCTTGCGAAAAGGCAATTTAATAAGCAACCTCGATGTTAAACATGCCAAACCTGTACACATATACATGGTAAAATTAATTTACATACATTCTCTCGCTAATCTTTGAATAATCGCACTAAACAACGGGTTTTAATTGGAATTAATAGCCTTTCTAAAATCTATAAATAATATATATTCTGTTTAATAATAAAATGCACTTAACATTGTAAAAAAAAAATACTTGATCTGCCCTTCATAGCACATAAAATATTTCCAAAATGACGTCATGTCGACAAGTTTGTTGCGATCAGTGATTTGTTTATAAACTGTTGTCTGGGATTTAAGGGGGGACCTATGTCGTTCTACGTCAAAACAGCGTTATGTGACGTCACAATAGCAACGTTTGTTTTAACCTGTTGACTTTTGCTACTTTGATATAGGCATAACATTGTTAATAATCAATAACGTACACAATTTACAAAAAGAAAATTTAATCATCATTAATAACAGTTTTATTTGATTTATGGAGTTTGTTAATATTAGAATTTTCTTCCTTTGGTTGATAATTCATAGCAATTTCAGTTGTGAAGAAATACGATGATATGCTGATATATAAGTGCAAAAATATAAGATAAAATTCAGCAAAGAAAGTGGATTAAATCTGGAAAATATGTTAAATATGTTTACCATTAATTTTTTTTTCTGGATAAAACTAAGAAAAAAATTAAGAAATTTACTTGTACCTATTTTTCTTATTGATTTATGGTACATGAAGATTTTTATTGTATCAAGACATTCCTAGGTTGTAATAGGTGTTGTTTGTTGACGGGGAAATGGGGGGGGGGGGGGGGGGGGCAGAATAATTGGAATGAAGAAGAAAATAATTAATCTGTTTAAATTGTTTCTAATCAAAACAAAATACTTGTTATTCGCAAAATATTTTATATTCAGATGTTTGTCAGCGCTTACTTACTCTCTTTTTTTAGTGCAGAAAGGTCAATATTTATTACACAGGAGTACGAAAATAAAAGAAAACGACATATGTCTCGTTTATTTAATCATAAAGGTATACATGTTTCTTTGTTAAAATAAAGAAATGAATCATTTCTTTCAAAACATATAAATTACAACATGTTCACACAAAGACTTTTTAAGAAATTACCTGTTATGCATGTCGGAATTGCAAAAAATACGACAAGAAAAACGGGGTGATACTCACATTGTGCTCCATTATAATTTTTCATGCGAGGTGAAATACAATGAATTTGCCTTCATTTTAAAGATACAAGTCATATAAATTGGATACATGTTGATTTTTAATGTGATTTGACATTTTTGGTTCTTTTTAGCGCATATTTGGGGTAGAACAATAAAGTCTGAAAATAATCTATTTATAGCATTTCACACTGTTTTTGCACGTGCTCCTGTGTAAAAATAAGCACATAAGGGTATTGTTTTTAATACCTAAAAATTGAGAGCAAGTGGTCAGGAAAGAAATGTCAAAGTTTTGAAAATTTCACACAAAGACTTTTCGGACATAGGCCCCCCCTTAATTAGCAACTATTTTAATGCATTGATAATATTTGATGTTGTTGATTATGCTAATATAGTTTTAAATGGCGAAGTATTTGATGTTCTAGAATATGAGGAATACAAAATGTACCTATTTTGTGTGACGTCACAGTAAATATTTCCCTATAAATAAGGCCCTTTTTTAAGCCTTAACAATGATGCGATTATAACTGAAATATTATTCTTACCTTGGCATTTGGCCATGTGACCCTATTCTTGATTTGTAAGTAATAATGCATCTCATACAACAGCCGACCCTCTCCTACATGTATAAAGATCAATTTTTTGAGTTTGAGCTGGTTTTATTTAGCTTTGTTTTTATCTTTGAATGTAAAGGAGATGAGATTTTATTCAAAGATTAAACAAATCTGCAGAGGAAAAAGGTAAATATATATTTTATTCATAACCTGGAATACACATTAAAAGTAATTTAAGGATAGATGATACAATTAAAAAATGGATGCCTGGATGAGTATGTATTTTATGGACTTATTCCGTTGAAAATGATGCAAATAATAAATTTTTAGAATATAAAGAAATTGTAAATCTTCTAAGATGTTTCAACTTCTGCATATCCGAAACCATCCCCCGCTCTGAGACAATATGTTACTCAGTTTTCAAAATTCACGGAAAAGTTATCTTTTTCTAAAATTATATTCTCAGTAATTTCATATTCAAAACATTTTAACCGTTCAAGGTAGCCTAGTGATAGAGCGTTCGCTTCGTGATCGGGAGGCCCGGGTTCGATTCACGTTCGCGGCGCCGCGTCGGACCTAAGACTTAAAAATAGGCGGAGACTGTTCCTTCGGCAAGCGCTCGGCATCAGAAGTGAAAGTCACGGGTCTTTTGAAAATGACCTTTAAAACGGAGGTCCCGTGTCACGGTAGGCGCTGGCACGATAAAGAACCCTCAATGCTCAATGGCCCTGAGTGTCGAGTATAGGTCTAAATTTGAAACCCTTCAACCGCATACGGTGACGTCTCCATGAGTAAAAAAGTCTCGAGAGGGACGTTAAACAATATACAATCAATCAATCAATCCATCAAAACATTTTATTATTTAATTTTACTGATGGACTTATAATTTGACAACCTCTTTTCAAAGTTGGCAGTTAAGCATATTAAGTGGAGAATAGGTTTACTAGAGCCATAAAAAAATGAATTTTGAACATGAATGGGTCAAGTCTCCGTTTTT